ACAAATTATAAATCCTGCAAAACAGCATAGATTACGCCTATGCATGCATTTCTAGAACAGATTAGAAAAGGTCAAGGGTAGACGACGAAACGCGAACAATTTTCTCGTCGCGGTGGTTGCATGCTGGCTGTTCGGGTTGGATAGAGCAGGAATAACGTTGAAAAACGAAAGCGAGGAGGAAGCAAAATGGAGGACAGAGACGGTGGGATAGAAAAACAGAGACGAACGAAGAAGAGGGAGTTGCAAAGGAGAGGGTAGGCAGAGAGAAAGAGAGGAAAAAAAAGGAGAGTTAAGCCTGCTGGCTGCAGGCAAAGGTATCGGAGTGGCGGGTACTGGCAAAGCGAGAGCAGAAGGGAGACAGGCATCTCGCCCTTCTTTTGTCCCTGGGCCTCGGTCCGATATTGAAATGGAGTCGTTTGAGTGTGAATAATTTGCTTTACCCGGACCATCCCTCCTAACCCCTGCCACCCAACGATCCGACGCTATCCTTTCCTTCTTTTCTCCTCTCTTTCTACACTCTTCTCTCTTACGATCGACATTACCGCATTCCGCGAGTCACGGCTACCGATTTGAACCTTCCGCCGATTTTACGCCCAATCTTTGAACTCCCCGGTTACCACGTGATCCAGCGCTGCGCCAATCGTCACATGCAAACGCGAAATGGAAGCTTTACGCTTTAGATCCTTTTGATTTTTCAATACTTTTTGTGGTATATTTGGTTCGTCGCGGAGAGAAATTGCAAAACATTTCGATTCCGTGGAAAACAGAGAGATGTATCGGTATGCAATTCTGTGGTAGAGTCCGGAAGTGGTCAAGAAGATTAGGTCCAGAACGCCATTTTGTGTTTGATATACATATACAGGGTGTATGAAAAAGGTCGGAACCCTTGAATATTTCGAAAAATATAAGTTTTATCAAAAAATGTTTCAGACAAAAGTTGTAGGGTTTAAAAAGTTCTATTTACTGGCAATATCATTTTGACCTTGAAGAGTCATTGGAAGGTCACTTCAATTTTTTTAAATGGAACACCCTATATATTTTTGCAAATTCTTGTAGCTTACCTCGAGAGCTTTCTAAAACACTATGATAAAGTATTTTTTGATTAAAAACTTTTTGAGTTATTAATGTTTGAAAGTTCCAATATTTTGACAAATTACAAAATATCTTACAAAAGATTCATTTTTCAATGATCTTACCCTAATACTTTTATGCACAGAATAATGAGATAAATTGACTATTACTCAGAATCTCAGAATAATGAGATAAATTGACTACTCAAAAAAAAATTAATATAAAAATCATTTATTATAATGTTTTGAAAAGATCTCGAGATAAGCTACAGGAATATGCAATAAAAAATAGGGGGTTCTATTTAAAATTTGTAACCCCCCTTGTACTCCCGCGTACCTGGGAGTGGGAAATGATCAGTATCCATGTCAAAAGATAGCTTTTTTGAAACATCGTAAATTTGTAATCATTGCAAATTTATTTATTTTTTTTAAACAATTGTGTATTTTCTTTACGCCAGTCAATTTATCTCATTATTCGGTGCATAAAAGTATTAGGGTAAGATCATTGAAAAATGAATTTTTTGTAAGATATTTTGTAATTTGTCAAAATATTGGAACTTTGAAACATTAATAACTCAAAAAGTTTTTAATCAAAAAATACTTTATCATAGTGTTTCAGAAAGCTCTCGAGTTAAGCTACAAGAATTTGCAAAAATATATAGGGTGAAATGATATTTGACATTCAAGGTCAAAATGATATTGCTAGTAAATAGAACTTTTTAAACCCTACAACTTTTGTCTGAAACATTTTTTGATAAAACTTATATTTTTCGAAATATTCAAGGGTTCCGACCTTTTTTATACACCCTGTATGTGGTATAAATAACAGATATATTTCAACTAATTTTAGTTATATGCATATTATGCATATTATATATTTTTATATATTATACATTGCATTGAAATTGTTTGATGCTTTTGCATGTGTATCTACTGATAATGTCATACTTTAAAAGAGAAAATCTTTTAGAAATTTTTACTCCTAAATTATGGTGAAAACACTTGTATCTTTTAACTGAATTAAATATCAATTCGAATCATTTTGTATTAAGCTAAAAACCAGTTTGAAATCATTTTGAATTAAGAAATCATTCGATTATCTATCACAATTTAATTCTTAATTGAAGGAAATATAATTACGAAACAAATTTATTTAGTAATTGTTAATTAGTACTTAATTTACTTGTTAATTGTCAATTAGTATTCAATTAAATTGAAAACTTAATTAATTATTTGGAACCTTGTTAAGATTAAATGGCTGTGTGCTGTATTGTCTTCTATTGAATTATTACGCGTTGTATTACGTGGTGCATTATGCATCATCAATTCATTATACCATTATTTATATTATCCACATATTAAATCGTTACGCAAATGAATAATTGCATTTGTATTTGAAACTTTCTAACCGACCAAAAATCTCAGAATAAATTTATGCAAAACAAGCAAAATGGTGATTATAACCCATTTTTAGTTTTTAAATCGTAAGTCCATTTTTTGAACAAAGGGTTAATGATAATGTTAGTCTGTTGTGAATATTTTCTTTTTATACTTAAAATCATACAAGCAATAGTAATTGTACATAAAAAATAAATAAAGTATTAATCCTGAATTGAGGAAAAGAAGATTAACTATAAAATATTATAACGGAATGTTTTCCGGAATATTAGTTCATTCTTATTTATTTATCAATTCATTATCATATAACTGTATTTTTGATCAAACTCGATTATTCGTTTATTTTCATACCTTCATTTTAATCATTACTTCTTACATTAAAAAATATATTTCAGAAAAGCCAACCTCAATCAAAATACATACAAATTTACAATTGCTATTTTTTATGTTTTTAGTAATATATTACTACTGAAAATCTATTTGTAGCTAAAAAGTCGTTCATTTTTTCTAACAGTTTTATTAACCAAACCGATTTTAATGTTTACTAATATTTTTAAATTAAGTTAAACGCAAATCTTCAAATATCTGAATGTATGAGTAAATAGACTTATGTCGCGTTAAAGAACAATGACTTCAATATAAATTTCTTTCTTATATTAATGAAGAATTTCTTCGTGCATATTTCTTCGCGTATTTACAATTATAAAATATATTAATAAATTCTTTATAATTTCACTGAACACTTATCTACATTGTACGCCGTATCAGTTACACGCCTATAGTTATAACTCCATTATTTACTAGGTAGTAGCTATAAATTGACCACATAATGAGCGTACTCCAAAAATAGTAAAACAACACGCACGTGTTGTTCCGTTGACAAAGAAATGTCACAGCGAAAGGCCAAAGTTTTTCACCGAGATATTTTAAGCTTCATTATAAAACTTCAAGGTAAATGGAAGAAACTTAACCTAACCTTCCGGGTTTTCTTCCTTTTTATTACGAAACTGCCTATCTAATATTTCTTCTGACATTTTACACTCCATAAACGTACGAATGATTGTTTAACTGCTGGTGAGACGCGCAAGAAATTCGGGAACAAAAATGTATCGACGATTATGGATTTCGAATGAGGATCACGAGCACACTGATATCATCGTTCATGTCTGCCTCGATTCTTTTTTCTCTTTTCTCACTTTCTGATGCTGCTTCGGATCGAGTCCATCCGATGAATTTATTAGCGTGAAAATCATAGTCACGCGTGCTGCGTGCGAGGAATCAATTAGCAATTCGTCGGAGTTAAAATTACATCGAGAAGCGTCCGATGTAACGTCTGTCGATGAAGGGGAATCGGCCATGGACAGTGGATGACAAATTCCCGCTGATTCAGATAATCATACGTGGAATTTTAATGCGTGACTTAGATACTTAGATTCCTTCAAAATCTTACTTTTTGTTGGGTTTAGTATTGTAATTGGGTTCAGTTGGTTTTGGATAAAGTTTGCCGATTTAATTTGAATATTAATTTTATTATGTTGCTCAACTTTGTAGTATTATTGAAGTTCAGCATACTTATTAAATTAATGGTTATTTGTGGTAGAAATTGATTTAAATGTTTATATCTATGTAGAAGGCAAATTTTTCTGGACATTTGAGGCGGGACCAATATGGCCGACGAACGAAGGGCGCGCAAATTTGAACGTTATTAAAAGTGCAATCAATTTTTCATGATCGTAAGAAACTAAATATAAATTTTCCTAAATTGTTAAATTCTCAGAGTTTAACATTTATATGTTCTCCTATATCTGAAATACGTAAATTCCTCGATTTTGAAATTTCTAAATTTCTAAATAACTAAATCGTCAAAAATCAGAATTTCTTAACTTTTAAACCTCCAACTACGTAAATTCCTCAATTTGTAAAATTACCGATTTGTAAGCTTCCCAATTTTCAAATCTCTAAATTTTTAGAATCCCAAATTCAATGTTTCCGAATTACTAAATCTTCAAATTTCTAAATTACCAAATTCTTAAATTTCTATATCTTGAGATTCCTAAATTTCTCGATTTTTAAATTCCTAAATTCTTGATTTTCCAAATTTCTAGATTTCTAAGTTCCTACATTCCTAGATTCTCGAATTCTGAAATTTCCAAATTCCTCAATATTCAAATCACTAAAGTCCCAAATTCCTAATTGCCCAAAATCTCAAATTCCTAAATTTCCAAATTTCTAAGGTCCCATATTTTCAACTTTTCCACCTTTTAAATCCTCAAATTTCCAACTTCTCCAACTTCTATATCCTTAAATTTTCAAAACAACAAACTTTCGAATTTCTAAATATCCATCGCATATTTCCAAATCTCTAAATCCATATATTTCGAAATTGCCAATTGTTAAAATTTACGAGGATCGAAAAATCACCTGGGCAGTAATGGATAAACACGTATTAGAGGATGTTTAATGTAAAGATATGCTGTGTCTCAGTGACCCTCGTGATCCCTAAGAAGGGTTAATCAAGAGTGTACGTGTCTCTCGAAGTGCCGAAAAAAGCGAAGGTAAGACGCGACCGGATGATGAGCCAACAATGATCGAGAATTCATCAGTGTTTTAAGAGGTCAATGTCACTCGACAGCCGACGAACCGGCATGGATATCTTCTTAAACATGCAGACCGCATACGAGACTCAGTGTATATAATCCAGCTGGTGAACATCGGAAATCAGTCAACTCGAAAACTTGACCGAGTAACTTGTCTACAACACAATGAAGGTACCATCATTAATGACAGTCTTAGTACTACAATTAGAAATCGTCTAATCATCTTTATCTTAGAGATTGATCATCTATATAAACGAAGTGTAATAAACAACTCTATTTGCAAGTTTAGTCAAACTGATGGATTTAGTTCTGCATCAAAGTTCATCAAATTTCATAAAACATTAGACATCAAACTTTTTGATTTAGTTTTGTAATTTTATCAACCTCTATTACACTTTATTGAACTTCATAAATTTTCAGTCATCAGGCTCTGTGATACAGTTTCGAAATAAACTTCATTCTTCTTCATAAAACTTCAATCATCAATGATTTTGTAACAAACTTCATGTCTAATTTTGGAACAAACTTTATCAAACACGATCAAGTTTTGGAACAATTTTGAAACTTCATTTAAACTCCATTAAATAACCATCAAACCAATAACCATCATCAATACACAACTTTAATTTGGTACTTTACTGTAGGTATTCGCCGCCATCGTTCTTTTGGTAGTCGCGGTTTCCGCAGAACCGCCAAGATTCCGTCAGCCACAAAGACAATATTATTTCGCAAGACAACAAGAAGAGCCCACCACGGTACCGAACGCTCCTTACCCACCATCCGGATGGAGACCAGCTGGACCAGCTTTCAGTCTTCCTCAGAGAGCACCCCAGCAACAATACGGAGCACCAACTGCACCTCAACAGAGTTATGGTGCACCAGCAGTACCTCAGCAGCAATATGGAGCACCAAGTGCACCAGCAGCACCACAGCAACAATATGGAGCTCCTAGTGCACCAGCAGCTCCTCAGCAACAATATGGAGCACCCAACGCACCTCAACAGAGTTATGGTGCACCAGCTGCTGCTCAACAGCAATATGGAGCTCCAAGCGAACCTCAGTCCCAATATGGTGCACCGTCGGTTCCTCAGCAACAGTATGGACCACCAGAAGCTACCACTGAAGTGACCACGGAAGCTGAAGACGCTACCACTGTTGCTAGTGTCACTGAATCTGAGGTGAGTTTATAGGTTCAAATTGTTGAAAGTGGTTGAGGGGTATTGTTGATATTAGGTTTGGTCTTCGATAAGAGAGAAGATGAAATGGGGACTTGGGTATTATTGAAATTGGGTCTACAGAAATTTGAACTGGGTAATAAATCGCGTTTGTGGATCTTTAGTCTTGTTGAGAATAAGTTGAGAGTGACACTAATGTAATAGATGCTTTAGAAGGCTTTGATTGTTCTTTGGGTAGGATTCTAAATTATATCTGGCTAAAGTTTTGGGTTAGGTCTAGAGAGGGCCTTGAATTAAGTTTCATAAAATTAAATTTGAAGGATAATTCATGAGTAGCTTTAAACACGAAAGCGACTTTTTAAAAAATGGAAATTTCATTTACTAGGTTTTAAATGTCAAAACTGGGCGAAGTTTGGATTAAATTTTGTACCTAATTTTGTAGAAGGTTAAACTGAAGAATTATTAAGTTGCAGTAGAAATTAGTTAGAAATACCATTTTTTACACACCAAAGTGCTGTGTAAGGTTTGAATCAATGTAGGATTAAATGATAACAAATGCTGAATGCAAGTTGTCAGGTACCTTTGAATCCAGTTCGGATGCAACTTAAACTCAGCAATGAACAAGAATCAACTGATATTTATTAAGAAATATTTTTTTGGTCTCAGATATTAATTCTGGACGGGGTTTGAGTTAAATCTGAATTAAAGTTGAAAGAAATTTCTCAAGTACTTTGGAAGTAAAAAAATACGAAAATCGGACCTCACTTCAAAGCGATCAGAATTCCAAGAAAGGACGAGAGAATTTTATTTTTAATGAAATGTCGTATCACGCATTATTGGGCTTGTTATCGTGTTATTTGCTGCGAACGGGAGTGTAGCCTGTTGGCACGAGCTTGCGGGAATCAAAGGTTCCACGGAATTTTAAATCACACCGATTCTTCGTCGTCTGCCCTCCCCTCTACTCCCTTCGCGCCACTTCTCTCCCGCCGGTTGCTCTCCTTTGACCGTCTTAACGACATTAGTATTCGAGTCGTCGTTTACTTTCGATCGCTATACAGGCACGCGTGTACCCCAACCGAATTCGGAGCCGTCGGTGACACAATCTGTGATGCAGTCAGCCGTGATTCGAGCCCTTAGGATCGTTTACCTTTCTTCCTTCTCTAGTACGCTTGGCACAATTTAGTATACTTAGAAACTTTCGTGCGTGAGTTTTCCTATTTGTCATCTGAACACAAATTTGGAATCTCTCCAATGTTCACACTTGACTGTGTAACGCTATACAGCAAACGATACAATTTCTTTCAAATATTTTACAAGGGATATGATAGCAAAGCACCAGATATAAATACACCTCGAATCTTCAGAGTTGACATCTTCACACCTGACTGTGTAATATTACATATCTCAAAATCGCATTCATTCCGCACATCACTCTGTGGTTAAATAATGAATATCTATATTCAAAGGCGTAAATGCTCAGAAGCCCAATTCACAAGTGAATGATAATTTTGTTAATTTCTGTGCAGTCTGAGCCCGTAAACTCCGTGAACGAGCTTGAAGACGAAGAAGTGGACGAACAGCAGCCGCAACAGTCCGGCGAATACTATGTAGCCCTTCCTGACGGTCGTCTTCAGCGTGTCCGTTACGTGAGTCGCCAGGACATGGAGGCGATGAAGTACTTTGCCAAGATTCGTGCCGAAAATGTGGAACCTCTTCGTGGACCCATCTATGCGTACGCTCCTCTGCAGAAGCTGCAAATACTGCCAGCTGGATTGCAAGTGTCCGTCGCACCGGTTGCACCCATTGCCGCTACACCGGCGGAATCGAAGCCACAAAAACTGGAGATCCAACCAGTCGCCACCCAAGTGCAATATCAGTTAGATAACCCTGCTGGTGTACTTCCGTTGTCCGCTTATACGAGTAACTACCAGGTGCCTGCCACCGATTCTAGATACCTTTTGACGTTGCAGTAGGTCAAATACTGTTTATTTATAGCTAATGTATACGTATCTTGACGAGGACCGTGGTGCGTCCTAATTTAACACTTGTAAAGTAAGATGTATAAAGTAATTGGTGGTGTGGAGATGTAATTGTAGGCTAAGGTCAAAACGAGAATAAAGATGATCAATCGATTTATGTCTTTCTGTTGAATGGTGTGGATATTTTATGTGTGGATACTGTATTTTAATATTGGAACTACTAATCAGTCTAAATGACTAGTTTCAGTTTTAGATTCCAAAATCTTCAAGTTACAAGGTCCTAAATCCCTTACTTTCCTAATTGTAAGTCCTAAAGTTATGTATCAATGTTTCAAAGTTACAAACTAGAAGTTGCAAAATACATAAATTCCCTAAATGATAAAATTTCGATTAATAAATTCCGAGATAATAAAATCGTTAAGTTCTCATCTTAAGTTCAAAATCTCCATACTTCTAAAGCTTAAGAATGCCAGAGTATCAATGTTCTAAGCTTGCAAAATGATGAAGTTTCAAAATATTTAAGTTCCAACATATTCAGTTCCCTAACTTTCCAAGTTCCAAAATTCAATAACTCCAACGCTTAAAACTTCCATAGTATCAGTCTTTCAAATTTTCAGAATTATGAAGTGCCAAACTCTTCAAATTCCAAGATATCAAATTTCTCAAATTGTAAGTCCCAAAGTTCTCAAATTCCAAAGTCTCCAAATCCTTAAACCCCAAAACTTAAAAATTTGTAAGTTCTGTAGTGCAAATATTAAAAAGTACACAAATTATAAAACCTTAAATGCTTCTAAAATTTAAAAACTCCAAGATTCAAAAGTCCCCAAAACTCTCCATATTTTCCAGATTTCTTAAATCTTTCAAATTTTAAACTTCCAAAGCGCTATAACGCTGAAGTCAGATTTCAGAGACCTCACAGTGCCGGAAATAAAAATATCTATAAAATAAAACTATCAACGCCTTACAAAAGAAGAGGCCTAAGATTCAATTTTACTAAAATCTAACCTGACTCAGGGATGTAAAAATTTTCAATACGAAATAATATCAGTGTGAAATAAAAATTGTCGTTGATTCTAAGTAATTAATATCCCATTATTGCACGAAGGTAATGGGAGAAATCCCACGAAAGAATTTTCTTAGCCACGGCACGTGGACGCAAGCGTGGATAGATGTGTGCGCGTGTTCGTGTGTAAATACGTGTGCGGGAGTAGGGTTTGTTGGCGGCAGACCCGTCGGCATGTAGACGCGCCTAACCGCAAAATTCCAGAAATTTAATATCTCGCTCGACTCTACCGGGGTTGGTCGTTTCATAAGTTCACTCCGACACAGCCAATCCCTCGTCAGGATCCTCCTGAAATTCTACGGCCACGTTCCAACCCACCAAAATGCTCTCCCTTTCTCCTCGTACCTTGCTTTTCATCCTGTTCCGCAACTTCGTCGACCACTTTTCCACTTCTTTGTCCCAATCGAATTGCAAACATTCTATTTTTTATTGTAATACTTGAACACTTACAGTTGCCTGAAAATTTGCAAGTCTAAAAATGTGGATTTTGTAAATTAATTTGAACTCTTGAAAATATGGAAGTTTGCACGTTTGAATATTCGACTGCTTGCAAATTTCAAGAGTCAGGTATTTTTATGACCTTTCTACTAAGAATTCAATTTGAAAATATGGAAAATTATAATGTTGAGCGCTTGACATTTTGTAAGTTTGTAAATTTCAAAATTTCTATTTATTTATGTATTACTAAATCTGAAAGTATGAGAAACTCAACATTTAAGAGTTTCAGCTTTATTTGAAACGTTTTATATTTATTTGGACGTTTTATATTTGAAAATTTTTTACTTCTTAATGTAGAAATCGAAATATGAAAATGTGAGAGTTTGCAAATTTGAGTTTACAAATTCGAAAAGTTATTAAGTTTTCAAATTCACAGATTGCTGAATCTAAAAATTCGAAAAATTACAAATTTGAGAATTTTTAACGCCGAATGTTTGTACATTTGAAAATTTCTAATTTCTTAGGAGTCTAAATCTGAAGTTTGTTAGTCTGCAAAGTAAATTTACGAAAATGTCTAATTTCCAATTTTTACATTTGTAAGTTCAAATACTAAAATATAAGAGTTTGCAAATTTATGAATTTCAAAAATTTCTAATTTCTAAATTTGGAAATCAAAATATTAAAATATGAGGTTACAAATTTGCAAATTTGAAATCTTGAGTATCTGAGTTTCCAAATTTTCTAATTTATCAATTCGAAAAATCCTAAGTTTGAAAATTTGTAAACTTGAAATATTTCCGAATGCCTAAATGTTAAGAATGAGCTCGAATGCTTGAAAATTTTTATACTTAAAAATTAAAAAATTCTTAAATATGCAAATACCCAAATTTCCAAACATTATAAAATGTTAAATGGAGTAATACAAATGGTCAGATCTTCCTGATTGTTTTTCTGAATCGATATTGAAACGAATGGAGCGAATTTGGCCAACTTGCCGAGCAAACTTTCCGAACAGAAGGTAAGTAGGGCTGATTTGTCGGGAACAAAGGGATTTCAACGACGTTAAGTACCTTCGAGATGCAAGAGCGAATTTCGAAGCCGAATTTCGGACCAATTACTCCGGTCAAGTGGTCAGGACCAATTAAACTCTGTCGATCTTAAAATTAGAAGAGGTAGATGGTAAGTTTGTAAGCGGTTGCTTTGAAAGCTCGGGTTTCTTTGGACACTCCTAATCTCGTCTCCTGATACCTATCTGCTAGATTAACAATTCTCAAATAGTAATTTAGGAATTAAATGTTGTAAATTATATATAAATTATATATACTATATACATATGTATAAATAAAATTTAACGATCTACATATTAGAGAAAGAAAAATTGTTACATTTATCTCTATTTTATATCTTTTACAAAAACAAATAAAGAATGAGAATATCTCTTTTTATAATCGTACGTTTTTCTTAAATTTTTAATATATTTAGATTTACAGTTTACAAGCAGCTCATGGGAATTTTTAATCTGTCCATCGTTTATAATTTAACATTTACGTTTATTTACATTTCGTCACGTTTAAGCACATAATTTTCTTAATAGGGTCTTCTCAAAATTAAATTTTTAAAGTGTAACATATACTTAAGGTGGGTAAGGTTATGTTAGGTTAGGTTATTTACGTTTGAATTGAATTTAAAAGTTACATAAACAAATCATATTGTGAATGATTTGATACATAGACAAATCATTTCAATGATCTACAAATTATCCCTCAAATTTATTACTCAAATTATTTTTTTTTCATATTTAATTTCTTTCACTTATCTTTATTAATCTGATCAATCTTATTAAACTTAAACTTGTTTTTACTACGTGACATTTTTATTTGTGTTTATTTTTTCTAGAATTATTTTTCAAATCAAATTTTTGAATTTCAAAATATTCTTTAGATCTATATCGAATAAATAAGAGGTTAAGTAGCGAAACTAAATTGACCATTTTGGAAGAGAACCGAATAAAGGTAGAAATAGAGAATAATCAGCTTTGGAAAACGGTGTTTCCTGTCTGATGTTTCATTGCTCTCAGTTTGGTGAAATCTGCGCCTAAGCAGTAACCAGCCGGTGCACTTTAGCTTCGCCGCGAGATATTAATTTTTCCGGAAGTAACCTCCGCCACTTTTTCACCCTCTGCTTGACCGTGACGTTTCTCTCTTTCCCCCGTTTTCCTCGAGTTCCTTGTTTTCATCCGGCGGTGTTATTTTTAAAAGAGTAAAGGAGAAAATATTGCGCGTTTAGGGGTGCTATTGCGGACGTACTTTAAATAACCCCATACTTTGCTGTATGCTGCTATTTTTATGAATGCAAATTAAGCGTCTTATAACTTTCAACAAATTATCGGCGGCACCATCAACAAACCTTTAATACTTGCAAATTAAAATTCTGCACTCTTAGGGGATTAAATTGAAAGAATTTGTAATATACAAGGTGTGACATCGAGCGAGTTTCACTGAAAAGTCCATCCTCTAAATTCCTAGAGTTTTACATATTATATTTATGGAACCGTATTTATTAAATTTATGAAATCTTATTAAAATGGGGTCTTTATTTTGCAAAGTTTCTTTTGAAAGTCTTTAAACAGTTATTCGATTTAAGGATTTATATAACTGAGGAAATATTAATTATGTATGTCGTAATAATATGTATACTGTTTCAGCTGCATACGCTGTTCTTAGAGAGATTGATCATTACGTTGAATTAGTTATGCAACGGAGGAAAAGATTATATTGCAGCTGCATTGTATTCGTTAAATGAATTCAATCAGATAATTTTACCCTACTGTCACGAACAATATTCTCCCGCGAAATTTAATACGCAAACATCCGGTCTGCACAGATGTTTTATCTATATAAGAGATAAAAGACCCTACTATTACAATAATCTTCATTATATTTTAATATTAAGATTCTGGAGTTTCTGTTACAACTTGAAAAGCTAAAAATTTAAAAGTGTGCAAACTCAGAGTTCCCAGTTTGAAAACGAAGAAATTACTCACACAATTTCAACGATAATAGTAAAAACTGTAACTAATCATACATAAAATAATTGAAGTCATACTTTCGTGTGCGAATCACGAAAGTATCACGAATCCCACAAATACACAAAGGACGTTAAATAAGGTCATCGACATTCGATCCGCTAATCAACCCTCCACGTCCAACCCTTCGATCTAAGGATCAAGCAGTGTCTCGCACGTCAACCTGACGGCATTTTTAAATCAGGCTAAAATAAAGGACTGTTCGTCAGGTTCCTGGTACATGAGCGTGAGACGACGACGATTCCTGAGAACCAGACTGCGACCACCCGCAAACACGGAAAAGACTAAACTGATGTTGATCGAGAAAGAGAATAGAGGCGGAGGGGTTAAGAACAGAGGTGGTACAAAGTCAGGGGTGAGGTTTACTTCGCTGACAGAGTCGATTCGAGCGAGTCATCGACGGGGGTTACAGCTTCTCGTTCACGGATTCTATAGCGGCAGCAAGAAGGAGGGTAGCTCGCGTTTTTCGCGTTGTCGGGCACCCGCGGGGTCCTCTCTGTTCTCCGTCGTTTGTCTCGTTCGAGATTAAGAATATAGCGGGAGGCCCCCCTCCGTGGCTGTGGGAACA